AAAAGGACACTACCTGAGTGGAAACCTTTTGAGCGTCCGTTCCCACTTGAGCATGAGAGTGGCCAGACGATTTCGGGGCCTTTTCTTTTGTACAAAGTACTTCTAGTATTAGTGCGTTTTTTTTTCACTCCATAGACTTTAAATAGGAGTTACTGAAAAATTGTGCGTAAGTGCATTTTTCTTGGAATCCCATTCATTCTGCCTCAAAGAAGCTTGTGTGCTTTTTCAAGCTTCAGAAAACAAACAACATAACTGCCAGGTGTGATCGGACCCATTGAGAATAATGGTGTTCTTCATCTTGCTGCTCTTCAGGAATCGCTTGATGAAAGACACAGGTGTGAATGGAAAGCTGATACGTAAAGCAGAAACATAGTTATCTTTTCTCTGTGAATTCAGGAGTTTCCCTTGAGTTTTACTTTAAGTAGTCTTTCCTCATAGCTAACGTCCTCCAAGCCCCTTTACTAAAGTGGAGCCATATTGACAAATTATGTAAGTCAGTATATGGTCTATGGGAGTAATATCTTATAACTTGGAAAGTAAAATTTCTGCCAAAGCAAAGTGAATTGTCATTCTTATTTCCGTTCTCTCTTGGGAGGATATACTTTTTACAAATATATACTTTGTCTATATGCAGTACTGTCATTTGACTTGTGTTCATTTGATTTTGTGCAGTGCATTGCCTCTTGCATATTCATTAGTATTGATTAGCTCGCAGCATCTCCAAAATGGAATGCTTCTGTCCTAATCAATATTTTATCCTAAATGGGTATGAAGTGTCTGCCTCTGCAGCAGGCAGCACAAATCTCAGACAAGTCATGATATTTCTAAATGAAGTTATTTTTAGAGAATGCCTTTCTGCCAGCATCTTAAAAAGATGCATTCCTGTAAGTATTAGCCTGTAAATTAATAATAAAGAGGATTAGATTGAATATTTCCACAGGACTAATTCTCTCAGATATGGCCTGTGCAAGAAATTCTGCACTACAGCAGAAAGTAGTAGGATAGAGATTTCTTTTATTTATTATCATTTAAATTGTCAATTGACCCAAAAAAATTTGGTAGATGTTGGAGGGTTTAGCGGCCTAAGTGTATCTAGAGCAATTTTTTATTCAATAGAGTAGGGCAGTGTTTCTCAACACTTTTTAAGTTAAGGCACCCTTGGAAATTCTGCACAATCTCAAGGCACCCCATTTTAAAATGTAAAAACTAAACTAAAATTCGTTTTTACGTAATGCAGCAACGTCCACACAAGCAGAATACCCAACATTAGAGGTGATTTATTCTTCCAAAGCAAATACACCTTTGCACACTGCATAACTTATTAGTATTCCCATGTTTCTGTCCCTCATTCAGCTAATGTGAACCCAATGGCGATGGAGGGGGGCAAACAAGGATGCTGAGCAGGCGCCAGATGTCCTCCTTATCAACCAAATCTGCTGGGGTGTACTCATTTATACTGAGCACTGTACATAAAGGCCTGTGAACAGTTGAGACTAACAATGAGGTCTGTCTATCAAGTGAGATGTGGACCTAGGAATGGATGCTTACTTCCACCAAAACTCTACAGAGCTTATTAACCCCTTCCCACTGTGACCCCTTTAACTGGGTTTTAAGATGGTATGGGGGTTGGGGCATGAGGGACTTCCTGATCACATGACCAAAGGTCACGAGAGGAGTCCTATGCCACTGGCTCCCTTGGGAGCATGTATTGAATGTGCTCTTGGCACAGAAACCTCAACCGCCATGGACTTGTATGTGCAGTTTGTGGGTGTTAAAACCCACACTCCTTGCTGCCACGCGTATGCGTTATTTGGCTGGCAAGAGTTTAACATTCTGAGAAAATCATCGATAAACCCTGGAGCCCCTCATCATGTGTAGGTTAGATACCAAGGTGATACACACATCCAGCCAATGCCTCATTAACAAAAAATTGTTAAATGTGTATCCTCAGGGAGTTTTATGAGAGTAGGAGAGTGTAGACAAAAGAGAGCTTGGGTTTTTTTGAGGTCAGAGTTAGATTTTGGGGCATAGTTGAAGAAGGTTAAAAACGAAAATGCAGAGCTGTCATTGCCATTCAGCTCTACAGTGCACATTCTGTTTAAAATTTCCATCTTACAACTTAATACATTTTTATATTTCTTCATGATGAATAGACATTCATTACACCCACATGGATCTCATTCTGGAAGCTACATGTTGGTATAATTAGATAAAGATTTCCACTTGGTTCATTGCTGTGGAGGAGCTTACGCATATTTTCACATTGATTTATTATTGTGATCCATGCTATGGCATTGTATGACTCTTTAGAATTTTATGAGCAAAATGAAAATTTATTTTGTTGTAAAGACACAACACCTACCAAGGACAAATTCATGGTATAAATTTATATTTTGTGTTTTGTATGTGTGTGAGATAAGTATAACATTTATATATTCTGTGCATGAATCTTGTTTGTGAAGACCAAGTCAGATATAATGTAGAGGAATGTACAGCTAAAAGTGGATTCAATTGTCGCCATGAAATAGTATGTCTCCAGCCAGAAAACATAAAATACCCTTTCAGTGTCCATCCCTCCCTCCACCACTGCAAGGCTATAATTTATTTATTTATTTCAGGTACTTATATAGCGCCGTCAATTTGAGCAGCGCTTTTACATATATATTGTACATTCACATCAGTTCGTAACCCTCAAGGGGTGTACAATCTAAGGTCCCTAACTCACATTCATATACAAGAGCCATTTTAGACAGGATCCAATTAACCTACCAGCATGTCTTTTGGAGTGTGGGAGGAAACCGGAGGACCCAGAGGAAACCCACGCAGGCACAGGGAGAACATGCAAGCTCCAGGTAGGAGGTGCCATGGCTGGGATTCGAACCAACGACCCTAGTACTGGCAGGCGGAAGTGCTAACCATTTAGCCACTGTGCTGCCCAATTGCTCATTAATTCTGGGAGTAGAGGAATAAGCTGTAAGGTCTTGTGTAAAGTGTTATGAAAACTCTCCTTCACTTGGCAGCAACGTTTTGGCAGGAAAAAAATGCTTTTATAAGAATTTAGGCACGTTTACAGGTGTCAAGCGCTTGGGCGTTATTAAATTTCATTGGCCAGAATGATATTAATTTATTCTGGCCATTGAAATTAATTACCGTATTTTTCGCTCCATAAAACACACTTGACCATAAGACGCACCTAGGTTTTAGAGGAGGAAAACAAGAAAAAAAATATTCTGAACCAATGGACTGCAGACATACAGTTGTGACCAAAATTATTCAACCCCCACTGAAATTGAGTGTTTTGGCCAGTTTGACATTGCTTTTGATCATTCAGTCATCTTGCTTACATTTACATTAAAGAGGCACTTGTAGGTCAGACAAATATAACATAACAGTTATAATGAAATAACCACAAATGTCTTTTCTGTGCTCACAGCATTATCAGTTTTATTCAACCCCCAAGTGACATTCAATCTTAGTACTTAGTACAGCATCCTTTTACAGTTATAACAGCTTTTAAACGTGAAGCATAGCTTGACACAAGTGTCTTGCAGCGATCTACGGGTATCTTCGCCCATTCTTCATGGGCAAAGGCCTCCAGTTCAGTCACATTCTTAGGCTTGCGCACTGCAACTGCTTTCTTTAAGTCCCACCAGAGGTTCTCAATCGGATTTAAGTCTGGTGACTGCGATGGCCACTCCAAAATGTTCCAGCCTTTCCTCTGCAACCATGCTCTAGTGGACTTGGAGGTATGCTTGGGATCATTGTCCTGTTGAAAGGTCCAACGTCTCCCAAGCCTCAGGTGTGTGACGGACTGCATCACGTTTCCATCCAATATCTCCTGGTACTGAAGAGAATTCATGGTACCTTGCACACGCTGAAGCTTCCCTGTACCTGCAGAAGCAAAACAGCCCCAAAGCATGATTGACCCTCCACCATGCTTCACAGTAGGCAAGGTGTTCTTTTCATCATAGGCCTTGTTCTTCCTCCTCCAAACATAGCGTTGATCCATGGGCCCAAACAGTTCTAATTTTGTTTCATCAGTCCACAGAACACTATCCCACAACTTTTGTGGTTTGTCCACATGGCTTTTGGCATACTGCAGTCGACTCTTCTTATTCTTTGGAGACAGCAAGGGGGTACGCCTGGGAGTTCTGGCACGGAGGCCTTCATTACGCAGTGTGCGTCTTATTGTCTGGGCTGAAACTTCTGTACCCACATCTGACAAATCTTTTCTCAGTTCCTCAGCAGTCACACGGGGACTTCTCTCCACTCTACGCTTCAGGTAGCGCACAGCAGTCGAAGTCAGCATCTTCTTTCTGCCACGACCAGGTAGCGTTTCAACAGTGCCCTTTGCCTTGAATTTGCGAATGATGCTTCCTAAGGTGTCTCTTGGTATGTTTAACATCTTTGCAATCTTCTTATAGCCATTGCCCTTCCTGTGAAGAGAAATCACCTCTTCTCTTGTCTTCCTGGACCATTCTCTTGCCTTCACCATGTTTGTAACCACACCAGTAAATGTCTAGAAGGAGCTGAGTATCACAGTCATTTTAAAGCTGCCTAATTGGTGCTTATTATGCTTGATTGCTGCTCGGTGACATCCACAGGTGTTTTCAATACCTGATGGAAAGCACCTGTATGAACCTCTGTTCTTCAGAGTGGTAGTCTTTAAGGGGTTGAATAATTGTGGCAATGAAGAAACCACATAAGAACCATTTACTACTGTATTACATAAACAATTGATGTCATTTTAGTTGCATTTGGGTAGTTACAACGTCCTTGTAGGATTTGATTCTGAATACAATTCCAAATGTACACTATAGTCCCTAAACCCCTTTACAGCATTGGGGGTTGAATAATTTTGGTCACAACTGTAGTACAGGAGATGACCAGAGACTGCGGACATAGTACAGGAGATGACCAGAGACTGCGGACATAGTACAGGAGATGACCAGAGACTGCGGACATAGTACAGGAGATGACCAGAGACTGCGGACACAGTACAGGAGATGACCAGAGACTGCGGACATAGTACAGGAGATGACCAGAGACTGCGGACATAGTACAGGAGATGACCAGAGACTACGGACACAGTACAGGAGATGACCAGAGACTGCGGACACAGTACAGGAGATGACCAGAGACTGCGGACACAGTACAGGAGATGACCAGAGACTGCGGACACAGTACAGGAGATGACCAGAGACTGCGGACACAGTACAGGAGATGACCAGAGACTGCGGACACAGTACAGGAGATGACCAGAGACTGCGGACACAGTACAGGAGATGACCAGAGACTGCGGACACAGTACAGGAGATGACCAGAGACTGCGGACACAGTACAGGAGATGACCAGAGACTGCGGACACAGTACAGGAGATGACCAGAGACTGCGGACACAGTACAGGAGATGACCAGAGACTGCGGACACAGTACAGGAGATGACCAGAGACTGCGGACACAGTACAGGAGGTGACCAGAGACTGCGGACACAGTACAGGGGGTGACAAGAGACTGCGGACACAGTACAGGAGGTGACCAGAGACTGCGGACCTTTTGGGAGCAGAAGGGGAGGCGGGTACCCAAATTTGACAGGTACCTGCTCCCACTTCCGCGGAGTAGTCTTCCCTCCCCGTCTTCTGGAACACGTGACAGGTCCCAGAAGACTGCTGGACCAGTCACAATGCGCAGCACTTCTTGCACATGAGCAGTGGCCACCTGGCTGTAAAGCCGCAAGCTGTCACAGCCGGGTGCCCAAACTAAATATGCCGGATCCAGGGAGAGAAGACGGTGAGGACACTGCTGGACCGAGGAACAGGTGGGACTGAGGAGCAGGTTCTGCTGCACAGAAGAGCTGAGCGGCTGGCCCTGTATTCTAACACGGCGGCGGGAATACCAGGCCGGCCGCTCCATATTCGCTCCAAAAGACGCACAGACATTTTCTCCCATTTTTTTTTTTGGGGGGGGGGAAAAGTGTGTCTTATGGAGAGAAAAAAATACGGTAAAACTCAAGTACTAAATGTGCCTAGCATTAACATACATTTAGACACGTTTTCACGCATCCAGCTTTTTTCTGCCAAAATGCTGCTGCTCCTTGAGCACTGGCCCTGAGTTTTTTTTCTGCTGGTAAATGCCCCTATTACTAAAAGTTTCTAAAAGTATATGTGTGCATGGACACATAGGATAACATAGAAGGACATTTGGAAAGAGTAAAAAAAAAGAAACCGCCTGATGCCCCTAAAAGTTGCTGTAAAAGTGGCCTGTCGCTGGTACCTTGAAGTTTCTTCTCTAAGGAAGTCTGTCTGACAGTCATGCACTGACATCATAAAGGGAAATGTGCAACCAGTAGCCCTGCATTGTATGTGAGAATGGTGTGGGCCCAGCCATAGTCTTGAGCATCGGAAAGCTCGGGAGTGAGGAATAAGGTGAGTATTACACCTCCACTAGTTGTTATAACAGTGAAAAACAACCCTTGTAGAGGTGCACCTCTTAAAGACAGTCGTCATCCTACAAATTGAAGTGCCAAAACAAGGAACTTTTATAGCAAGATCACCAGGTATTTTTTAATTGAAAGTTTTATATTTAAAGTGACCCTACTGCTTGGAAGAAACCTCTCTGCAAAAGATGATTATTAACCTCTTGGCGCCTGCCGAACACAAATGTGCTGCCTCCTGGCGTCTGGGCCTAGACGCCGAGCGGCCCTGTGCGCTCCCAGCACACATGTCTGGTATTCACAGAAAGGTCCTGATGTCCTCTTTCGATCGGGACCTTTCCCAATCATGTGACAGCGTGTCACGGCGGTCACATGACCCTAAAACCCGCCCCGTCTCCTGGCTTCTGAAACCCTTAAAGGGCCAGGAGGCACCGGCTCCAAGGGGTTAAAGTGGGAGTAAATTTCCAGTACAAGTACAGTATGCATCTCCTAAATGTGCATCGCTTAGGAGATATTTACATGTGCAGCAGCTGGTGACATCACTGGCACATGCGTACTGCGCTCTCAACGGATGGCACACCATCCATTGAGAGAGCTGTGCCGCGGCCCATTACTCCAGCACGCGTGCACGGGAGTGACGTCAGTGTGGTTCAGCCATTCAAACAGCTGGAGCCCAAGAACCCTAAAGAAGGATGGGTTCCCCGTCAGTGGTGACAGGGCACTGCGGTGCATGCTAGCACATTATATTACCCTGTGAGTAGAACCAGTTTTTTTTTTTCTTTCTTAAACGCGGTTTACTATTACTTTAATATTGGCCTCTCTGGCACGTGATGAGTCTGAACTTCAAGAACTGTGGCCTTCAGCAGAATCTTTAGCATTTTCAACACTTCCAGATGTATTAGATGTCTCTCTTCCATACCTCTCTTTGGGGATTTATCTGCCTCTTCCAGAAGTGTGTCAGATGCTAAAGATTCTTCACCTGCTAAAAATTTTCATGATGGGGAAGTTCGGAGTTGCTTTCCACCAGAAAGGTAGTTATTAGTAAACATCTGTTGCGAGGTGGTCATTTATTTTTTTTATTTTCATATTAGATGTGAGCCTGCAATAAAATGCCTAATTACATTACCAGTTAAACTGAAACATTAGTCAGAAAATTAAGTCCTGCTAGATCACTACAGGCTGGCCCTTTTTGCAGGTATAGCTATGTAAAGCATTAAAATATTGGCAGCATAATTAATCATTAATTATTTGCAATATGCTATATGTCAGCGTTTTTCAACCACTGTGCCGCGGCACACTAGTGTGCCATGAGATATTGTCTGGTGTGCCGTGGGAAAAATTGCCTCGGCTCACAAATAGACGGGCAAACTACGGCCCGGCGGACCTTTTAATCCGGCCCACGGAGCGTGATACTGTCAGGATGATCTGTCCCCCTCGACGTATCTGCGCATGTGCCGGAGATTGCCGATCGGCTGCTAATGCCTGAAACTGGCACATGCGCAGATACGTCGAGGGGGACAGATCCTCATAGGAGACCTACACCGGAACAGCGAGAGGAACGCGCGGCGCAAAGGTAAGTGAATTGACACAGGGGGGCTTGGGGACTTAATATGGGGGATGAATTAATATGGGGGATGAATTACTATATGGGGGATGCATTACTATGGGGGATGAATTACTATGGGGGATGTATTACTATGGGGGATGAATTACTATATGGGGGATGAATTACTATATGGGGGGTGAATTACTATATGGGGGGTGAATTACTATGGGGGATGAATTACTATATGGGGGATGAATTACTATGGGGGATGAATTGCTATAGGGGGGATGAATTACTATGGGGGATGAATTACTATGGGGGATGAATTACTATATGGGGGATGAATTACTATATGGGGGGTGAATTACTATGGGGGATGAATTACTATATGGGGGATGAATTACTATGGGGGATGAATTACTATATGGGGGATGTATTACTATGGGGGATGAATTACTATATGGGGGATGAATTACTATATGGGGGATGAATTACTATATGGGGGGTGAATTACTATGGGGGATGAATTACTATATGGGGGATGAATTACTATGGGGGATGAATTACTATATGGGGGATGTATTACTATGGGGGATGAATTACTATATGGGGGGATTAATTACTATGGGGGATGAATTACTATATGGGGGAGATGAATTACTATGGGGGATGAATTACTATGGGGGATGAATTACTATATGGGGGATGAATTACTATGGGGGATGAATTACTATATGGGGGATGAATTACTATATGGGGGATTAATTACTATATGGGGGCTGAATTACTATATGGGGGATGAATTACTATGGGGGATGAATTACTATGGTGGATGAATTACTATATGGGGGATTAATTACTATGCTTACTATGGGGGAATATTACTATACTTACTATGGATGACACATACACATCATTCATCTACTCTTGGTCCGGCCCCCGGGTCCAATTATAAAATACTTTATTATTTCATAATAAAGTAATTATAAAATAATTTCTTTGTGTTTGATTCCTATTCAAGAGAATTACTTTATATATAGTCAATATAGGCACAGAGGTAAATTTTTTTAACATTTTCTAATGGTGGTGTGCCTCGTGATTTTTTTCATGAAAAAAGTGTGCCTTTGCACAAAAAAGGTTGAAAAACACTGCTATATGTTCCTTGCTAAATAACATTATTGTATTATTGCAGCAAGTTGTTATAGATACAGATCCACATTAAGCTTCCGCATTGTAGCTTTGATTTATAGTAACTCTTATTTTTGGAAAAATTATAATTTTTGGTTATAACTAATTTGGGTTATTTTTTTTTTACTAAAAATATAACTGAATACATTTTGGCCAAGATTTATGAAGAAATATTAATTATTTATTTGCAAAATGTTATAAAAACACTTTTTTTCAAAATTTTTGGACATTTTCATTTATATAGCAAAAAAAAAAATAAAAATCAGTGGTGAATAAATACCACCAAAATAAAGTTTTATCTATCTCAAAAAAAATGCTAAAAAATTCATATGGGTACAGTGTTGCATGACCACGCAATTGTCATTCAAAGTGTGATAGCGCTGAACATTGGCCAGGACAGGAAGGGGGTAAAAGTGTCTGGACTTGAAGTGGTTAAATGCAGTCCTGTTGAAGTTTGATGCTCATTTGTCTGCCCCACTATGTAACCTTAGTTGTTTGGTTGGACAATAGAATATTCTTCCTGGATGTCAGGTGAAATGAATCGATTTAAAGCTTTTATGTGGACAAGTGATCGATGACTGCTCTTCTATTTGAATATCAACTTTATTATCTTGATGAACATTATTGGTCAGTTGAAAACTGTGATGGCCGTGAAGAGAAGAATCATTTTTTAGTTGGTCAATAAATTCTAAAGATATGATTGTCTTAGACAGGAGACAGCAATGGTTTATATAATGAGATAAAAAAAAAACATTTTCTATACAATGATCTCTCTGTCCACTTCATAAACCTCATAATGTAAATCTGCATTAAAAGATATTGTGAGATGCACGGGTGCTTCAAACATTCACAAATATAAAGCCAATGATCAGCTGTACAAATCCCATGAGCCAGGTGGCCAACTGTGCCTAATGGATGCCTGTAGATTTTAGATGGAACTTTGATGTGAACAATTGTTGACTATCAGTATATGATAGTATGGGTGTGTAGGAACAAGTGAAACTAAAGAACCTTGCCGGAAGAAACAGAATATTTCGAAATATAAAGGCAGAGTAAAAAAAAAAGAGATATTTGCAGAAACGTCATACACAGCAAGGAACAGCCGTTTAAAAGATTTACATTGCCCATTGTTACTGCAACTACTTCCACTAACATTTTTTTATAGACTGTACTCAAGAAATTTATTGCGATTACAAACGTCTTAAAGCAAGCACACCACTGCATATGTTTGATTAAGCCGCCATCATTTTTATGTGATCCCAGGCATGGAGTTGTGGATAGTGGATAGCACAATTCGGGTTCTCATGCTGCATGTACTATGGGTTTTATGGTCCATTTCCTGCTTTTATTATTTTTGGTCCTAATTTTTGCACTAGCAGTTTATACAAATAGAAGTAGCAATATTGAAAGTGGAACTTCACTCTCTGTCTACATGGACTATTGTATATTCTTATGCTGTTAGTATTGGGAAATAGTATATCATATTTACTTGTTTAATTTTTTTTTTTTTTTTAA